GCACACGCCACCCAACGACGAGGCGTATGCGCGGCGCTGGCTCAAGCAGTGTGGCTCGGAGAGGTGGTTCGCGTGCGGTATCTTCTTCCCTATTCTATGGGAGGGTGTCAAGGGCGTATGCCTCGCCGTATCGAGCGGTATGTCCACGAGGCAGTCGAAGACGAACAACGACCCGGACTACCAGCACAGTATGGGGGGCATCCCCGAGCCGGATTGGCTTTACTTCGAGGCCTTCTTCTACGCGCACGCGGTATTCGGGAATTTCTCGGTATTCCAGGATGAGAGGCTTGGGAAGCCCATTGGCTACCTTCTGCACGTATTCGACACGCTATGCACCGGGCGAGGTATCGTCGCCTGGAAAGCCAACCTCTTCGTCCACCCGGGCCAGTGGGTGTATAGCAGTATGCGGTATTTGCTCGGTCAGCTCGGTATTCCCATTCATGCGGAGATCGTATCCGGCCTCTCCTACAGGGCCCTCGCCACCTTGGACGTATTCATTGCGTATCACGCGGCCTTCATGGGTACGGACCCGCAGAAAATGGCCATTTGGAACGTATCCCCTGAGGTCGGCCCAGAGATGAAGTATCCGCGTCAAGACCAGTGGTGGTGGTTGCCCGTATGGCGGTCTTTTGGTCAGAGCGACGAGTATCCGAACATGCTCGATTACCCGGCCTTGCCGCCGCAGGTCCACAACGTGCTCGCGTTAGCACTGCCGTATGCGAGCCCCGGCTCTCCCGCCAGCAGGCGTATCGGCAATATCATTGGCCATTTGGGAGCGCACGGGTATCAGCCAGGCCCGCACCTGCATCAGCCAGGCAGCCGTGTACCCAAGCGTATTCGCGACGTCGCAGAGGACGAGTCGCCTTAGTATGCTTCGTGTATATTCATAGTGTGACTGGACCTGTTTGCGAAAGCAGGAGAAAGTATGAGCAATGCATGCGTCATCCTTGGGACTGTATAACAGCAGAAACAGACAACATTGCATCGCAGACGGACAGCCATCGGGACAACCATCGGGACAACCATCGGGACAACCATTTGGACAAGCATCGGGAAAACGATCGGGACAACCATAACCATCAGGACAACCATCGGGGCAACCATCGAGACAACCATCGGGACAACGATACCTTCTCTCTTGTGTCCTCCCACATCCCTCAGGAAGTTGCCCTAAAGATGTGACCGACTCCTCTCTCTCCTTCTCTATGTCTCTCGCTCTTTCTCTGCTTCATATCTATCATACGTAACACATCTACTTGTGTAATCGCCTTCCCAGGAAATTGCCCCAAAAATGTGACCAACTATCTTGGCAGTGCGTACCATCTCACGTGTACCGTGTACCACATCTTCTCAGGTTGCCTCACACATGTGACGAATCTCTTTCTATCTCTCTCTCCTCTGGCTCTCTGTCTTGCTCTCTCTCTCTCTCTCTGTCTCTCTGTCTTGCTCTCTCTCTCTCTGTCTTGCTCTCTCTATGTCATGCGCAACGAATGCACGATGCGGGGCACATGCGGGGCCCAAACAAGTGATCAACCTCTGCGGGTGTGTACTCCACGCCAGTGTAGTATCCACGATCGTCCGCGCGCCACGAAGTGAAGTGTCCTGACGTCATAGGGCGGGAAGCTGGGTGTGGGTGGTTCCCGAGAGTCGTGTGGATGTTTGGTAGAGCTTGCATTGCCCCCCCACGAAGTGGGGGTATTGGCTGGCGTCGCATGAAAACCCTGGCACTGGGGAGAACACTGAGCGTTCGGGTAAAATGATTGTTGTTGTTGTTGTTGTTGTTGTTTTTCGGACACACGATTTTGAAATCCTTCCGAAACCGATGGGTTTTGAAGGATTTCGGCATACGCGCGCGACGACGCGCGCGTCTGCACTTCGTCCTTTTTTTGCAGAGGATTCTCGCGACGGCACACGCGCCAGGGCGTTCGACAGATTTCGACATGCGCGCGCGCGAAGCCCGTTTAGTAGCATTTTGTGACATCTTGAAAAACCTATGGTTTTCTTCAGATTTTGCTAGAGCTCGCGCTTAAGCTTTTTTAGCAAATCTGTGTGGCGAAACCCTTTTTTTTTGTGTGTGTGTGTGTGTGTTTTGGAAAGTCGATTGCGAAATCCTTCCGGCACCGAAGGTTTTTGAAGGATTTCGGCATGCGCGCGCGACGACGCGCGCGTGTGCACTTCGTCTCGTTTTTTGCAAGGGATTCATGAACAAAAACAATCTCATGCTAGAACAAAACGCATCCCCGCGTATGGTTTTTTACAAGGGAACCTCAGGGGGACCGATACCCCGTCCCCTGGTGGGATGCTGTAGATTCATACTTCGGATGGACATGTGGTCAGAATCATACATGATTTACATACCCGAAAAGGGGGACCGATAACGCCGGGGGGGGGGGGTAGAGTCTATTATTTTTTAAAAAGGAGAATTCATTTCTGTTCGCAATGAGTTGTCCATTCCACTGCTCGCACAAACATCCCACCCATCCGCAACTCGGTTTGCATAATCTCTTCAGACCGTGACGATGGGTACCAAATGGCACTTGGCAACGACAGCGACGCCGACGACGACAGCGACAACGACGACGACCACGCCACCGACGACTACGACGACACCGACGACGCCGACAACGACGACGACGACGACACCGACGACGACGACGACGCCGACGCCGACGACGACGACGACGAGAACGACAACGACGACGACGACGCCGACGACGACGACGACGATGACAACGACGACGACGATGATGACGCTGTCAACGACGTCGACGACGACGACGACGACGACGACGGCGGCGACGACGACGACGCCGACGCCGACGACGCCGACGCCAACGAAGACGACGAAGACGACGACGACGTCGCCAACGAAGACGACGACGAGGGAGGAGGGAAGACGACGACGGCGACAACGACGACAACGACAACGACGAGGGAAGAGGGAGGACGGCGACGACGCGAACGAAGAAGAAGGAGGAAGGACGGCGACGCCGACGACGACAACGACAAGGGGGGGGGGAAGACGACGACGACGACAACGACGACGACGACGGCGACGAAATAGGAGGGACGACGACGAGACGCCGACGACGACGAGGGAGGAGGAAGGACGACCACGGCGACAACGACGACGGAAACGACCACGACGCCAAAGAGGACGACGACGACGAACACGAGGAAAGACAGAGGACGACGTAGGCGACGACGACGACGACGACGCGGGAGGAGGGAGGACGGCGACGACGACGACGACGACGACGCCAGAGCGCGCGTGCACGCTTTTGTTGGAAATTGCCTTGTGTTTTTGTTGGTTTTTTTGGACACACGATTTTGAAATCCTTCCGAAACCGATGGGTTTTGAAGGATTTCGGCATACGCGCGCGACGACGCGCGCGTCTGCACTTCGTCCTTTTTTTGCAGAGGATTCTCGCGACGGCACACGCGCAAGGGCGTTCGACAGATTTCGACATGCGCGCGCGCGACGCCCGTTTGGTAGCATTTTGTAAAATCTTGAAAAACCTATGGTTTCTCAAGATTTCGCAAGAACTCGCACGTAAGCTTTTTTAGCAAATCAGTGTTGCGAAACCTGGTGTTTTTGTATGATGTTTTGGAAACTCGATTGCGAAATCCTTCCGGCACCGAATGTTTTTGAAGGATTTCGGCATGCGCGCGCGACGACGCGCGCGTGTGCACTTCGTTTCATTTTTTTGCAAGGGATTCGTGAACAAGTCTTATGTTAGAACAGAAGATGTCCCCGCGTATTGTTTTTTAAAAGGGGGCCTCAGGGGAACCGATACCGGTTCCCCTGGGGTAGTGTAAACTCATATTTCAGATGGACATGTGGTCAAACTCATATATGATTTATATGCCCGAAAAGGGGACCGATAACGCCGTGGGGGGGGGTAGAGGCTATTCTTTGTAGAAGGGAGAATCCATGTGGTGCGCAGACTACGATGTCCAGTTTTTGTGGGGCACTCTATGTGATTCAATCTCTGTTGCAGCGACGAGGCTGCGACGGCGACAACAAAACCGCCAGACCGACATTGCCCCCCCAGTTTTCATTAGATCAGAAGTAAAGCGCCCCAAGCGCAATCACTGCTTGGGGAACATGTCCAGCGAGAGCCTCATTTTGAGAAGGATATGTCCTCCATTCGTGCAGGCGTTGCACACTTTCAAAATTTTGCCATACACACTGTCAGAAGCGCAAGCGAGGGCTCCATCATGAAACGGAGCCGCCCTCCATCCGTGCTGCCGTCCCTCAACATTTTGGAACAGCGGGTCGTAAGCATTGAGGGGGTCTCAAGCGGGAGCCACCTATAACAAGAATCCGCCCTCCATCTGGCAGCTAGCGCTTTCCCAAAGCACCTTATGGGATGGGGCCCTCTCTTCTAGTCCGCAGTGCCGCGCGTCTCCTTCCTCTCCATCCTCCCTCTTGACTCGACCTCTGCCCTCTGCGCGTCGGTTTTGGCATCCTCCGAGGTCTCCCCCTCCTCCTCATGTCCATTTCGGCACACCCCTCACAAAAGCCAAACAACATTAAAGACTCTTGCAGATGCATGCCAGACGTCAGAACTTGCGAATTGCTGGGTGTTTCAGCTTGATCCCATGAGGGGACGATGCGTATATTGTACGTACATGGCTCTAGAAAAACTGAGGTGGCCAGGGCTGGAAAGCGTTGCCAGGGTCTGGACCGACCCCAGAACAGCTTGAATGAGGTGGCCACGCGGAAAACAACCTGCCGGGGAATTTGCCAGAGCCAGAAGAAGTGGAAGGGCGGCTGGCACTGGTTGCTTTTTCAGCTACCTTGCTTGAAGGAGGAGGGGTAATGATTATCTCGAGGAGGAGGATGATGATGAGGAGGAGGAGGAGGAGGAGGGGAGGAGTAAACAAAAAAAAGAACGGATGATATGAGAGGAAGAGGATGGGGTGAGGGAGGGGGACGAGGGGGAGGGAAGGAGGGTGGAGGGCCAGCTCGGCTCGCGCAGTGGGAGTCTCCCGGCTAAGTATCATCAGCCAGAAGAACGAAATGGCCGCCACGAAGGCGATCCGCAGGTGCTCAGGCACAAGGCCGAAGGTCACGCACTGCGCGGGAAGCCATACCTGGGAGGAGGAGCGCGGCGAGGAGCAGCAGGACAAAAAAGAAGAGGATGAGACGGAGGCGAGGGAAGTAGGGAGGATGAAATAGGGATGATGAGGCAGTAAGACGTAGGAGGGCCAAGAGCGAGGCAGGTCCGAAAGGACAGGCAAAGAGCGCCGGAAAGGAGGGGACTGTGAAGCCACCCGCATCTCCGTCGCAAGCAGGCCAATACTCATACAAGGCGACAGGAAGAGGACGAGGAGGACAGGTCGATTATTGCTACATGCGATTCGCGTGCGTTGAGGGCGCGTCATTGTCAGTGCCGAAGCGTGAGGGTAGCCGCGCCAGCTGTGCGAATGCTGGACATGCGCCGGCGCCAGGGAGGCTCAGACGCCGCGCAGCGCAATGCCGAGCGGGGTACCTCCGCCCACGTTGGCCGCTGCTGCATGGACGTCACGTCGACGGTCGCCGTGACGACGCAGGCCAGGGCGCAAGGACGGCCTCCCACGGATCCCAAGATTCACACGTAGTGCTACTTGCTTTGGGCGCATGTTTTGTTTCCTCCGCCTCCGCCGAGGAAGAGATGTCAACCCGTCGATCCCTCGAAGACGAGGCTCTTCCAGGGGCGCCCTTTCTTGTGGTGGCGGCCCAGGGCGACTCCAAGCGGCAGCAGGAGATCGGGCCACCGTAAGCGCACCCAATCGGCACCCGAGCAGATAATCCAGAGGCTCCGTGGTTCTGGCGTGCTCCAATACAGAATCAGAGTCTCGCTGAATCACCGGCTGCATGGCACGGCCTAATCGCCCTAGAGGCGCCTGCGTCAACCCAGGGCACCAGTGCGCGTCGACTCAGCACCAGCTCTCGATCGAGTGGACGCCCGAGTGGACCTGGTGCTGAGAGGGCGCGCCGAAAACGGTGCAGATCGGCATCGCCAAAGCCCAGGAGTGGGCGCCCACACGGCACGCCCACGTCTGAAACCCTGCTCCGCAACCTCGGCAAAGACAAGGGCAAGGGAGTCTGCCACTTCGGGGTCGGACGAAGGTACGGCCGAGCTGTTCGGCCGAGCTCTGAGTATCCTCGCTCATCAAAATAACGATATCGCCACTACCACTGTGATGATCAGCACGTGGCTCCTGCTTAAAGCAGGGCGCCTCTGGCTCGCTCATTTGCATGACCTCACCAACATCCGTGTTAAGGCACCTCGTGGTGCGACGTTCGCAGCGCGGGCGTCGGAGTCGTGTCTAGACTCTATGCTTGTAAATCTGGGGGGTATGCGGGGTAATGTGATGCGCCGCGCTCTCGAACGCAGGGGTGAGTAGCATCACACAATTCTTCGACTTGCTGCCCAACGCAAGATTCAGGCTGCGCCGGTGTCGGCACGAACAAACATTAGATCTCGCCTGGGCAGAAGACAGGCCCCTCTGGCGATGGCCTGGCAGCAAGCTCGAGTGACCAAGCTGGTGCAACAAACATGACCGGGACAGAGGGGATGGCCATCGACGGCCTGAGCGACGCCAGGACGATGACAACATCGGACCAAGACAACTCATGCATCGCTGAGGGCTGGTGAGCATAATTCGAAGATGTATCGGGCGCCGCGGCCGTTCCAGAACGCTCCAAAACACCCTGAGAACGTCCTGGAACGCCCCAGGTCTCTGCTCAAGAAGGACCGCTTGGGAGCCGGGAGGCCTCTGAGAAGCCTCCTGCCTTCTCGGACGGGCCTCGCCTTCTGCAAGCACCGCCCCCCCCCCCCCCCCCTTGCGCCCCCCTCGTGCGCGCCGCCGAGGGGCCCCGCGAGGCAAGAGCACCCGCCCACATCAATGCCAATCGGGCCCGTCCGCCTGGCATGTCATTTCGCGGCCATGCCTTTCGAACGGATGCAATTCGAGCTCGCACTGGGGAGGAGGAGGAGGAGGAAGGAGCAAAGGCGCTGTGCGACAGACCCCTGCCAGTGTGCCAGCGTTCTCGCCCACGCGTCGGCCGACGCCTGCCTTCGCACGGCACCTCGGCGTGTGAGGCTCGTGCTCCACAGGCAGCGAAAACGTGACGGGAGGCTCGGGAGCAGCTCGGGCACGGCAGGCAATGTCGCAAAGATCCCTGCCTTCAGAGCACGATCCGGTCGGACCCTCCATCCTCATACTGCATAATCGTGTCGTGGCGACCTTGGCGCTGGTTTCTCACACCGTGGGGGTCGTTCAACATTGAACGATCGGCCGTTTCCAAAACGTCAGATCGTTCAACATCGACCGACTCTGGGTCGCCAGTGGCGTTTAACGTTGAACGCCGGCGGCGGGGTCACCGCAGGTCGACACGGCGCGAACCCACCCTGGACGTCACGCCCACGGCGACGGCGGAACCGAAAGCCGATCGAAACGACAGCGAGATCGAGACCGGCTGAAACCGACGGACGGCAAGCAGCCGAGGACGGCGCAAAGATGTAAAGACGCAGCAACTGGCAGAACCGAAGGGACCGAGTGCAGCCGACTGCGACACCGCCGACCGAACCGAGTCGCGGACGCCCTTGATCCTCTCTCCCTCCCTTTCTCCCTCACTCTCCTTCGAGATCCGACGTCGTGGAAAAACCATGTCGCGCGAAATGACGGCCAGAGCCCCGACCTGATTCTATGCGGCATATTCACCTGGATCGATCCAGGAGGGCTCTTTGGCCCAGAACGGAGCGAAAACGCCCGTCGTGTTTCAGCGTCTGGAAAAGTGACGACAAGAGCTCACGACCCCATCTGTAAGCGGCATATCTCCAACTGGATCGGTCCTTGACGGCCCTGGGGCTTGGAATGGGGCGAACACGGCCGTCGTGCTTTTCTGGCTTGAAAGGAACTGCTACTGTAGAAGTGGGTCCTTGGCCCTGAGTTTCCCCCCAGGGGCCACTTTTTCATCCCGAGTCGTCTTTTGACGGTCCCACGGCTCAAGAATAGCCCCTGAGCCCGAAAACAGCGAAAGACCTCCAGGACGCGTTTCCTCCAGGACCTTTCGGCGGCGGCCGAAGGTCATCCTGGACCAAAGTGTTCCAAGTTTTTCGCTCTATTTTTAAGCGTCTCAGGCCCTACGGGCCTCGCGGGGGGTACCCTGGAGACCAAGTGGTCCTCCTTGGAATCGCTGGGGCCACCTTGGGCCCGGGTTGCCTTCAGGGCATGTCTGTCACGACGCCCGGATCTCAAGGGCCCCCTCGCTTTCCGGCGCCCGGGCGCCATCCAGTAGCGCTGGAGCAGCCCCTGCTCCCTGACGTCCGAGAGGTACTCTGACAGCCCAGCCCGGGGCCCCTGCCCGAATACGACCGCCTTCATCAAATCCGCCACCGCGCGTCTGGCGCGCAATGCAGTCGATGTCTGCGGTCAGGAACTTCTGCTCCGCTCCACGGTGCGGGAGGCTCGGCAAGGCTCGGGACGTTGACGCTTGGGAGTGGGGACGTGGACAGCGTGTCGCGCCGAAGCGTGGTGGGCCAGAACCGGCGGAGCGACACGAGAAGCCAAAATTCCCGACCGTATGAGAAGACATCCCAGCGTGAGCACTCCAGGGGCACATCCTCCGTCGACCTTGAGCTTGGTATGGTGCCCCAGGGGTCTCCAGGCAGATCACCGGATAACCAGTTCTCGTGGGGCTCCCGCAGGCAGGCAGGCTGGGTTCTTCAATGGTGTGCCCAGCGTAGGGGTGCCCTCGGGTCCCCTTTTCCACCCCGCCCAGTGACACTGTGCGCCTCTTTCAGCCTCGGGGAGGGCTTCTCGTGGCCACGGCTGGGCGCAGCTCGGAAAACTGGTCACGCTGGCGTCCTGGAGGGTCCAGGGAAGCTGCTGTCATCGTGCTACCATGCGGAACGCATGATAGAGAGCTAGGGGCTTTGCTGGCCACGGCGGGCCTAGGCCACAGACAGGCTCCACGACGTAGGGAGCGGCCCGAGAACCCGAGCCTCTCCTGCGCCCCAAACGGCCCATACCTCAGAGCCTTGACCGTGTCTGGAGCGCTGGGTGCCCCTTCTCCCTCTGCCCCCCGGTGGCCGCCTTCCTCGGCGCCCCCGCGGACAGCCCCCGACGGGCCAGCCCCTCCCCTCCCCCTCGTGGGAGCCCCCCGCCCGTGCGCCACTCGCACTGGGCACCGCCTGCTCCCGAGCTGCGATGCTGTGCACCGGCTTCGGGGTGGCCCCGGTCTCGCCCGGACGCGCGTGCGGATTGCCTCTGCCGCGCTGCGACGTCGTCGTCGTCGTCGTCGTCGTCGTCGTCGTCGTCGTCGCTTCGTCGTCGTCGTCGTCGCTTCGTCGTCGTCGTCGCCGCCGTCGTCGCTTCGTCGTCATCGTCGCTTCTTCGTCGTCGTCGTGGTCGCTACCGCGGGAGGGGGCGGTCCTTCCCAGGCCTCTGGCTGGGCGGCCTCGGCCCCCCTCGCGCCCCAGGGCTGTCCAGAAACACCGCGGGACCAAAATCCAGCCCCTGGGGAGGGGCTCGAGCGCATCAAGGAGGCCCTTAGGAGGCCCCAGGAGGCCCAAGAGAGCCCCAAGAGCAGTCCCAATACAACCTCAAGAGGGTGAACTCAATGATTTTCCTGCTGTTTTTGCATGTTTTCTGTCCTCGTCGTCGTCGTCGCCGTCAGCAAGCCGCAATGCTCCCACCCATGCCCATGGGAGCCCTCTACAGAGGCTCTCCGTGAACATGACTGGGGATGTTGGCCTTGACCGTTCCCAACGGCGCTCCCAACCCGCAAGCCGAGGCGCGGTGGCGGGATGTGCGCGAGGCCGCTGGATAGTACGCGGGGATGCAGAGCAGCGGCGCGTGCACAAAGTTCTCCGCGAAGACCTCCGCGGAACAGGGAGAGGAATGCAGAGAGAAAAGGAGACGAGCGGGGAAGGGCAAAAAGTGAGATCGGCGATCGGCGACCTATCCACGTCGCGGCTCCGCGTGTAGCAGTCATGCCACCATCTGGAAAGCGCAATCCAGAACGAGGGGGCTTTTCTGGCCACGGAGGGCCCAGGCCACAAACAGGCTCCACGACACCAATCTAAGGAACGGCCCGAAAACCAGAGCCCCTCCTGAGCCCAACGTTCTTTTCTACGAGAACAATCACATCAGCATGGTGTTAGCTCGCGCGCGTGCCGTCCGCACCACGAGCCGAGTGAGAATAGACGAGAGGCGGGAGGAGAACGGATGGATGTACGAAACCGTTGTGAGCGCATCTCCCCAGATGCTCCGAACGATCATTCACAGCCCTCCCGAGCCCGAAATGGCCCTTCCTTCGACATCCTGACCGTACCCCGGCTACCCGGGCAGGCTTGGCGTCGCACTCCTACCTCCGCCGCCCTCCGCTGGCCCTCCGCCGTCGGGCCCACCGCCTCTCTCCTTCCGGGCGCGCCGCAGGCGAGGGCCCCCTCTGGAGAGCACGCCCACGTGCTGCCGGCTGGCGCCTCCACTTCTGGACGCCTCGGGTGGGCACGGATGCAGGACCCGCCCAAGCGGCAGGAAGCCTATCCATGCGCCCGCCCTGGCGCCTGGCGGGCTCTGGGCGCGACAAATGGCACGGACAAAACCTTTGCTGCACCGGGGAGCGGTGGGGGGAATGGGGACACTGCTAACCCCGACGAATCGAAGTCAATTCTGCAGAGGTGCTTGAAGAAGGGCGCTCGAACAGGGCGGGTTTTCTTAGTGCACGCAGAGGAGTGTTTAGCAAACACCAATCCCCAAAGATCCGATGTCTGGATTCTTTCATTGCGGGGTCGCCGAAGTCCAGACTCTCTTCCCAGGGCCAGTTTTTCATCTCGATCACTTTATGATGGTCCTGGGGTCAGGCGGGGCCCCCAGAAGCCGAAAACGGATGAGATCCGTACTGCTTTTTCAATGCGCTGGAGGCCTGCGATCAGAAGGGCCAGGGTGCTCCTTCCTCCACGTTGACACAAAACCGCTTGCTTCTGGGCGCGGGGCCTTGGTGACCACCACCCGCAGGCCAGTCCCGTGGCCAAACAAGCGGCCGAACACTACGTTCAGGATGAAGTATTGGGCGCAGCCCTGGTACGCGCCAGCGTAGATACCGAACGCCAGGCAGCGGCGCACATCAAAACGCGCTCTGTCGGAGAGCTGCTGGGCGACGGTGTCCGCGCAGATCCCCTTTCCACAGGGGGGCGCCGACAATACACAGCATGCCCGTGCCTTCGATGCCATGCTCTTTGACTTCTGCCCCCAAGTGCGTCTCGACCCCTTCCCAGAGACCGGTTTTTGATCTTGATCTGCTTGGCGGCCTTCAGGCCCTGCGGGGGCCTCTGGGCGACGACACCTGCGAAGCACCTACCGCCGCACTTGTCTTCGAGCCACCCAGAGTTCCGGGCCCAGCAGATACACACAATAAGAAGCCTTGCTGAAACACATGTACGAGCTCGCTCGCTGCCGATCTCTCGAATTCCTCAGGTGTGCCATGTCTTCTGTGGGTCGCTGGGGTCACTGCGGGGCGAGACATTTCTGTGTGGCACTTGCCAGCAGGTCGGTCTCGATGCGCCTACTGTGCACCGATTCTGACCAAGCCCATCCCATATGCCCGGGACCGATGTGTGCGACCTCTTGTTCCAGGTCCAAAGCGGGCCTGGTGGTCCCAATATAGAACCCCCCCTGGGTCCACCCTGGCCCGTTTTTCGAGCTGCGCCTGGCCGTGGGCAGGGAGGATGAAGACCACCGCAGGAAGGCCCATATGTTTCAATGATGCTGCAATTCACCATCCCGTCGCAAGTCCCCTCCCCTTGTCCTTCCACCTCCTCCTCCTCCTCCTCCTCCTCCTCCTCCTCCAAGCATCCATTGTCACTGCGCGGGACGCCCCTCCGTGGAAGAAGAGCGCCACACGGGCCAGCCACTCGGGCGAGAGCTCCCTTTCCGAGGCTATACCAGGAATGCGACGGGATGTGCTCATAAAGCTCATGGCTCGCCCAACGACGGCGCCACCCTTGAAAGGGGTCGACTTCCGGTCATACATAGAAGTCTCACCCGAGAACCAAATTTTGAAAACATGATCGCCCTACATCCGTGCAAATGTTGCATCTGCTCTGATTCCTTTCAATTCGGCGTTGCCTAGAGGTTCCTACTTGTTGGTGAAGAACCGCTTGGTGCACAGGCGTTTGAGGGACGCGGCCCTCGGCCTTGCTGGATTCCCTGGTCGTGGTTCCTTGCTGCCTTGCTCCGGTTCCCCGGTCTTGTTCCTCTGGTTCCCAAGTCTTCCTCGGTTCCCCAATCTTGTTCCTTGTTCCCCAGTCTTGATCCTCAGGTTCCCTGGTCTTGTTCCCTGGGTTCTCAGATTTGTAATGCCAAACAATGCTGAGAACTGCCGAGCAACGCCACGCATCTTTAAACACCGCCACTCAATGCCAAGCAATGCCAGACAATGCCATGCAGTGACATGCAATGTCAAACAATGCCCAAACACTGCCGAGCAATGTGAAGCAATACCAAGCAATGCCAAGCAATGCCAACCAATGCCGAGCAATGAAGGGCAACGCCAGACAGCCGAGCAGTGCCAAGCAACGCAACATAATGCGAACCAACGCTAAGCAATGCAATGCAGTGCCAAGAAATGCCAAACGATGCCCTCCTTGCTTCGTTACTTACTTAGGTTTGGGGTCGAGTGTGCATGGCGCCCAAACCAGAAACCCATGTTGAAAATGGTCCGCCCTTCATCCGTGCAAATGTTTGGGAATTCACGCTTCAAAACCGTACACGGTGAGGACGTCTCAGGCGAAACGCCTGTCCCGCCCAATCAACACGTCTTGTGATGCGGCAAAGAGGAGTTGTTTATAAGGAGGACGGGTCTTGATGAGCGCCCCGCTGAATGTAGTGAACAAGAAATATGACAATTTCTCACCATTGTCTGCCTCCCATAGCCCTAGCATGGTTCTGGGACCGTCAGAAAACAACAGAGGATGAACAACGGGTCCTCGTGAAGGGGTCGGGACTTCCACGCAACCCGTATTGAAACGATCAAGGCGTCGGATCTCCGGGTCCCTGGCCTCCTTGTCTCATACAAGCGATCGGGAGCCACAGGAGGAGGGGCCACCGAGCCTTGAGAAGCCAAAGCCGCCGCGCGCTGACACATTCCGAGCCAAGACATTTCGACGCCTGTTTCGACCAAATTCGGACCGCTACAGCCTGCCGTAACCACATCGCCAACTGGCTTCATCGGTTCTGAGAAACTTTCTGGCTCGAAGTGGCCCAGCTGCATCCGACGACTTCTTGAGGCCAGTCCAGTCCAGCAGGACCTAAGAAGTACGACCCCCGACACAATGCACCCTGCGCACACTAGCTCAGCCTTCAACTGTTGCAACCCAACG